GTACAACAGCTATGTCCAGAATTGTTTGTTCTGCTCAAGCTTCTCTACAGCTGACAAGGTCAACTCATAACGCTTTAATGGTCAAGCAGGGCGTAGTAGGAGTCCACATTGATACAAGTATAAATTGAACATCCCCGGGTAGGCCCATCTTGTCGATGTTTCGCACGCCCTTCCTAACTTACTGCTCTGTTATTATTGGCCTTGTCTCCCAGCGTTTTACCGATCCACTTCCCTAAATATTTGATTTGGTGTCAATTGATGTTACAGCAGTGTGACCTTTCCTGGATTTGATCGAAGGTCATCCCTGACAAATATACAGAGACTTTAAGGAATCGTTGCACCAATCCGACTTTAATATGGAGGCACTTTGGAGGCACGGTAGTCTAGTGTTAGGACGCCGGGCTCGTGACCGACGGGTTGCGGGTTCGAGTCACGGCACGGCGTTGTATCTTTGAGCAAGATACTTTACTCAGCTTGCTCCTGTCTACTGAGCTATAGATGAGTACGAGGTTGGGCAGTGCTAGAATTGTTGAATGCTAGCTGTGAGCGCCGAAATGGCAGCTCCGGCTGTATGCTCCCCAGGGATTAAAGAAACACATTGGCTGGTTGCAAAGGCCTTATAACCACGGATGATAATGTGTGAACCGCTTTGAGACGACCAAAGCGGTATATAAGAACCTCAAATTATTATTATTATCATTTATCATATTGGTGTAAGTGGTTATGGTTAGATCATTCATACATCCCCTATTTGGTGGTTATTTTATGGCGATATCTGTCTTTCACGCCTTGGTCCTTCTTTCTCCTCGCTTTGATAGGACATTTGAGATTGTAAATCGAGTCCCGATGTTCCAAATTCTTTTTGGACGGCATATGGACCCGTTTGAAGTACTTGCTGATGAAACCTCTGATTTTTCACTAGTATATGTTATGTGTAAATGCCCTCTTCATCTAAATGAGATGGACGTGTAAGCATTAGACAAATCCAGCCTTGCTACTGTTAGATTCTTCGATCTTCAGTTCTTTTGCTTAGACGACTTGTAAACCCATGCTGGTTTATTCCGTGCAATCTTAGAATCATGTGATGATGACTGTGCTATTGCATGCGTTCCTAGCTAGTACTGATGGTTAGATTTTTTCCTTTTATATTCAAGAAGGAGATCGTCCAGAACTGAACTAGTTTTACTAATTTCTTCTCCTTTTTGTACAAACCAACCCTCTGCCTTCTGCCAACGTGAATGTATCCTTTCTTCTCTCCGTACCTTTCCTCCTATTCTTTGTTACTCCAATCGAAGAGTTTCGATCCACTGATAGTTTCCTACATGTGTATTCCCAACAAGTTCATTTTCCAGGATATTGTTAAAGTCCGCGTCGAAGGTCTCCAATCTGCTGTCATCTGAACTCGTTGTTGATAGCAGTAACCGCAGGAGTGAGATACCAAGTCCTCGCCATTGCAGTGTTCTCATCAGTGTTAGCTGCGTGTTGTTCGGCTAACCTGTCTTACCCTAGCTGCGTGTTGTTCGGCTAACCTGTCTTAACCTAGCTGCGTGTTGTTCAGCTAACCTGTCTTAACCTAGCTGCGTGTTGTTCGGCTAACCTGTCTTACCCTAGCTGCGTGTTGTTCGGCTAACCTGTCTGACCTTAGCTACGTGTTGTTCGACTAACCAGTCTGACCTCATCAGTGTTGGCTGCTTGTTGTTCGGCTATCCTGTCGGTTTCATCAGTGTTAGGTGTATGTTGTTCGACTAACCTGTCTGACCCTAGCTGCGTGTTGTTCGGCTAACCTGTCTTACCCTAGCTGCATGTTGTTCGGCTAACCTGTCTGACCCTAGCTGCGTGTTGTTCGACTAACCTGTCTGACCTCATCAGTGTTGGCTGTGTGTTGTTCGACTAACCTGTCTGACCTCATCAGTGTTGGCTGCATGTTGTTCCGCTATCCTGTCGGTTTCATCAGTGTTAGGTGTATGTTGTTCGACTAACCTGTCTGACCTCATCAGTGTTGGCTGTGTGTTGTTCGACTAACCTGTCTGACCTCATCAGTGTTGGCTGCGTGTTGTTCGACTAACCTGTCAGACCTCATCAGTGTTGGCTGTGTGTTGTTCGACTAACCTGGCTGACCTCATTATTGTTGGCTGCGTGTTGTTCGGCTATCCTGACAGTCTCATCAGTGTGGGCTGTGTGTTGTTCGACTTACCTGTCTGAACTCATCAGTGTTGGCTGCGTATTGTTTGGCTAACCTGTCTGACCCTAGCTGCGTGTTGTTCGGCTATCCTGTCGGTCTCATCAGTGTTAGCTGCATGTTGTTCGGATATCCTGTCAGTCTCATCAGTGTTATCTGCCTGTTGTTCGGTTATCCTGTCAGTCTCGTCAGTGTTAGCTGCGTGTTGTTCGGCTATCCTGTCGGTCTCATCAGTGTTAGCTGCGTGTTGTTCGGCTATCCTGTCAGTCTCATCAGTGTTAGCTGCGTGTTGTTGGGCTATCCTGTCGGTCTCATCAGTGTTAGCTGAGTGTTGTTCGGCTATCCTGTCGGTCTCATCAGTGTTATCTGCGTGTTGTTCGGCTATCCTGTCGGTCTCATCAGTGTTGGCTGTGTGTTGTCGGGCTATCCTGTCGGTCTCATAAGTGTTGGCTGCGTGTTGATGGGCTATCCTGTCGGTCTCATCAGTGTGCTGCATGTTGTTCGGCTATCCTGTCAGTCTCGTCAGTGTTAGCTGCGTGTTGTTCGGCTATCCTGTCAGTCTCATCAGTGTTGGCTGCGTGTTGTTCTGCTATCCTGTCGGTCTCATCAGTGTTGGCTGTGTGTTGTTGGGCTATCCTGTCGGTCTCATCAGTGTTGGCTGCGTGTTGTTCTGCTATCCTGTCGGTCTCATCAGTGTTGGCTGTGTGTTGTTGGGCTATCCTGTCGGTTTCATGAGTGTCAGCTACGTGTTGTTCGGCTGTCCTGTCAGTCTTATCAGTGTTGGCTGCGTGCTGTTGGGCTATCCTGTCAGTCTCATCAGTGTTAGCTGCGTGTTGTTCGGCAATCCTGTCAGTCTCATCAGTGTTAGCTGCGTGTTGTTCGGCTATCCTGCCTGACTTCATTAGTGTTAGCTGCGTGTTGTTCGGCTATCCTGTCTGACCTCATTAGTGTTGGCTGTGTGTTGTTGGGCCTTCCTGTGATGTCAGTATTTTTTTTACTTGCTTGGCGTCTCTTTAAACACCTCGTGTTGTTGAAAACCTTTTTACAACGACATATAGTTTCTGCTGGTATTCCAGACAATGACCGTCGGAATAGCTGGGAGTTTTCCACATCAAGGGCCCATGTCATCTCTCTTTCCACATATATTACCGGCCTGTTCTTGTTTTCCATACAGAAAGAATACACCTGCTATATCCCACCGCGTGATCGTATGAAGCTGATAGCTACGTAGGTTTACTTCTTTATCACATACCTGTTGAATCTTGTTATAGTAATACAACGTTCGGTATTGCACATGTGCAATACGGAATGTTGTATTTACCTACTAGCCAGAACTACTTTTTATGGGAATCCCCTTGTCATGGCGAACTGAAAAGTGACCGGTATTTGCAAAAAATATCAAAGTTTATAAAATCTTTGTATCGATCTCTACAAAATACGGAACTTATGTGATAAAAGCAATACCATGCACACACTCCGCGCACGAGTGATTATATTCGTCCCTGCAATAAATGAGTGCGTTCTGATTCGTTAGAAAAACACAAGTGTGTGGTCTTGCATATGTATCTTCTGCTTAGTACGTGGTTACTGCCATGCACGGAGAAGCCAAATCTGAGCTGCTTTTCGGCGGTGTCCGTCTATAACCTTCTGACTAACCGATTGTTTGAATTAATGCTTCCGGTTGGAGAACCATGCTTTATCGTGTCCAAAGTTTTTAATTCTTGTAATGGCACTTTTATATAAATTGCTTTTGAATTGTCCCACTATCGGTGGACCCTGTCTTAACTCTTAATTATGGCTTTAGTAGTCGAAATCAAACTTAATCAGAATTTGGAAATTGACATTTTAACTATGATGAATCAATTATTTAAAAATTAAGAAAAAGAAAACATTATGATATTTGTGTACATCTCTGACAAACAAGCTTTATATCACGGGGGCCGCGGTGGCCAAGTGGTCAACGTGCACTTCGATTTCCATGACCATGGCTGTTTATAGGACAGTTACAGAAGTTCAATTTGAATAGAAATATATATTTTAAAAAAGATATCTGGTCAATTTAGTATATCTACTAAATATAAAAATCTTTGCCCCATACGTATACTAAATATAAAAGATATATGTGGTAAATAATAATATTAAATCTCCTGTTAACAAATTTGCATCTGATATGTCATTTTAATTGAGTTGATGGTGATATATCCGGTAGCGTTACCGTATTATATTGAACTTATTTCGTAATTCAGATAAAATTTTGATCAAGAGGTGTACTTTTGGGTGTTTTGGGTAAATCACCAATTATAATTGCTGACCTAGTGAAATATCATATGAGATATCAATATAAGATAACATTTACATTTGTGTATTCAAATTACCGATGTATAACTCTAGTGTTATGATATATTTCTTCGTGCATTTATGTTATGTATATATACAATCCATATAATTAATGGAGTCGAATTTAAATGATTTTGTTACTTTATGTTTTCTTGTTTCTGCTTTATGGCCCCTCGACACGAACACGATTTACATAAATGAAATCACAACACCAAACCTAGAATATTTTCAACATTTTGCAGTTTCACACGGGAATCTGATTAAAGTAAAGATGTCGTTTGGAACAGCTCTGGAACCCGGTGTAAATAGGGACGTTAGCAAGTCTACCAACACAGTGCTTCAGGTCCGCACTTTTATCAAACAGTTAATGGAAAATGTCTTCTAATATCACCGGGTATATATCGTATGTATAGCATTTAAAGGGCTGTAAAAATACATGGTGATAAATGTTTAAAAATGGCGATTATTTATTTATTTATTTTTCATTTTATTCACCCCGAGCCTTAACTTCCACTCCGGTCAATTTTTCGAAGGTCACTCACGTTTCCTCGAAAATGCTGTCAAGATCATTACTCGTCTCGCGACAGATTGTCAAATCGGCTAACGGTGAGTGAAAAATTCAAAAGCTTACCGATTCGTTCAATCTGGGAAAGTATATTACACGAAGAGAACCAGTGTTACTAACTGTTCACATATCAACGCTAATTTGACAAGATCCCCCCCCCCCCCGCTCTCTTCCCACAATATTCTCGCTGTAGCCGATCGTTCACGGATGATGAGTGACATATCTTTATACTTATCTCACTGCTTCCTTTTCGTAATGAAATAATCTGGTTCGAAATAGATTGATTCTTGAGAAAGGTGTGTATTATCAGGTCCAGTGCACTCTGACGATTGATCGATCTATAGATAGCTGTAAAGACATATAATGGTCTCTATTGATCACCTATCTGAAATAAGGTCTTTTGAGCTATTTTCAAGTGATTTTCTTTTTAAGGAAAACGAAACAAAGTCGCATTTAAAAGAAGATTGTATCATTAGGTTGATAACAAAAGACATTAAATATACGTATTCTTTTAAAAGAATAATGATGTAAAAAAATCGGAAATTTTACATTTATGAAAAATGAAAATATACCGATACATCTAATCGTATGCTTTTTGCAGTCAACATTACCATAAACCTTATTGTTTTATGCGACTTTGCTTTAATTTAATGAAAATTGAAATATCAGAAAATATAGCTCAATACAGCTATAATTTAAAGGTGAATATAGCTATATAGGTCTTTATAGCTATATAGCTCAATCGGCAGAGTGTACTGGACCTGATTATAATCAGCAGAAATACGATTAGAAAGGAAACAACTGATGTCTTCAACAGGTTGGGCACAACGTCGGCACATATAATATGGGTAATAATCCTGCATTTTGATAACAGTTAACCATTTGAGTAACAATTTTGTTACTGAAATGGATTCTTTTACACATTATGAACAAAAAGGGTGTCATTCTTACAACATAATCAAATAAAAAATACAAGGAAGTACAGTTTTCTCTGGCCCTGACACCAGACTTAGACATTTTGACAGATAGATGTCTGGTGTGGGGCCAGAGCGCTCTACTTTATGAACTACCCTGACACAGTCTGGTATTGGAGAGTTCTGAGGTGCTGACAACAAAAATTGGCTATGACACAACACATACCTCACATATATTGATAAATGGATTATTTATCGATCCAAATCTGCTCTCATTATCACCAACAGCCACTAAATTCCGTCCTCAGTTTCCAATCGTTCAAAATTCCCCTCCTGAGAGAACGCCATTTTTGTAGGTCATGAGAGTGACGTCAACTAATCAACAAAAAGAGACGTGTGGAAATCATCTAAACAAGAATGATATTTTCTGTAACTGTTATCCTAGCTTCCTGATGTCAGGGTCAGTGGAAACTCGGGCCAACATCAGAGTTGATAACTTTTTGTGTACAAATGTACATTGGATTTTAAATAATTTAAAGAATAACACACTTTTTTGCTCAAAGAACACGTATACACGTCAAAGGACTTATGTGTTACCCGTCTGTCTTATAATTAGCTGGTTATAATTATCCTGTCTTTTCATATTGCAGAGTTATCTGCTCTTGTGAGCAGGTATATATTGTTACGTCATTTGTTTGTGAGAGTAACGTCATCAATTTTTGAGAAAACAAGTTAATTTTCTCACACAAACCAATGACGTAACAATCAATACCTGCTCACAAGAGAAGATAACTCGGCAATACGGAGACAAAGACGGAATAGCACATGACAGTCATGTAATCCAATTAATTATCGCTAAAATTTGACCCCTTCAATTAATTGGAATGATTTGAAAGGTACACATTTTTCATCATACCACCTTGTATTTTTGTTAATTTCACACAATATGTTGCATTTGATGGTCACCAATTGAAACAACATGGCAGTGAAATTCATCACCAAATAATTAAGAAAACTGATGCAAATAATTGCGGATATTTTCCTATATAGCGGGTTAAAATCAACTTGCAGCTAAACGACTTTGTAACTAAAATCAATCCCTATTGGGGACCTGTGTATAAAGCTGTATTTTGAAGATAATGAATTGCATCATTCATTGCTTAACAACATGATATGTCATTCATAAGTCATAAGTCATTATCACCTGTCAGTAGTCATGATCATAATGCTGTGAAAATGATCATAATGCTTTGAAAATGAAACGATAACAACAGAGTTCATGGTTAATCAACTGTGTTTATTTCTTGCCAAATTAGATTTACACCTTGTTTAAAAATCACACGATCCGCCATATATAAATGGACTTTGGACAAGAGTTGCCATACGGAGAGAGTTCAACCAAACAGTCTGTCGTCATATTCGAATTCAAATACACTGGACCTTTTAAGCTGCCATGCGCCTCATACAATTTCAAGAACAAAACTTCAGATACAAGAATTGACTTTGTTCCTGTAAACATTCTTACGAATTTCAGGTAGACCAATGCAAGTTTAAGTGGTGCATATGACTGAACAAGAAGACATGTACAACTGAAAGCACCATTCCAGCCTCTTATATTAGTTAGCAGATTATCAATTTGATCTGCATCAATCATTACCATTCGTTCTGTATTAATCAAAAGATATTAATTTCTTATATTTCCAGCAGTCCAGTCTGTCCGCCATGGGAGCGCCAGTTTGAGGGAGATTGCTGTCAAGCACCACAATGATCTGGATGCTTTACCCATTCCACATGGCTGCTGGAAGACAGATTTTAAGGCCAAGGATACCAAGTACAACATAAATATTGCCCTCCTCCTAGTCTTGAATTTCGCCACTTATGGATTTGTAAGTTTCTGCATCTCAGTGAGGGGCTGTATATCAAGGTTTTACTGTAGTGAAATACATGCATTGCCTTACAATCATGACTATTGATTGTAGACAGACCAATTGGCAGATCTTCTCCTAAATAATTGTAATGTAAACCTGTGACTTCTGATATGAATACAATGTTTTTGTTTTAGCTGAAACCATATATGCTCACTTAATAAACCTAAGGTCAAGTCGTAGTTTTGTTTTCCTCAGACTAGGGCTCTCGTTGTCGAAAGCCAAAGTAGCCATTTGGCTCTTTCGATTTTTAGCTCACCTGGCATTGGGTACTGGCTTGTTTAAAATAGTCATGAATGCAATTTTCGTGTATTAAAATAAACGTTTTAAATCCTATTTTGCTTATTTCTGATGTGTACTTGCTTTAATTCACAGATCAAAAAGGTGTGTCCTGGTACAGATGCAAGGGCTCGACCAACTACCTTCAAGGTGGATCCACCCATCTTTAACACTTACGATGAATGATTTAGCCCGGAAGAGGATGTTGTGAATGTGTGCACTCCAGACATTGATTTTATTTGTAGAAATGTTCAGTGTTAAAATAGAACAGATTGGAAGAGTTAAAAGAATGAGGAACAACATTGATATAGGATTTTACAACAATAACATTGTGTCAATAGGAAGTTTTGAACTGTCAGAGATGCAAATTGCGTATTTAACATTCAAAAGTACAGAATGTTAAATTGTCTTCTTCAGAATATTTTGTAATGCATGTTTGGAGTTTTTGAAGAGTACTTTTTGTTGTATGTTAGCACTGGGTAAATAAATTGAAAATGAATATCTTACACAATTGTTTTTGGCTCAAAACTAAATAAAGTGTGATTAAGTGGAATGAGTATTTATCAGATAGAGGTAAAATATTTTTAATTAATAAATTAAGTCAAGAATTTAACACACTTTTTAAACGTTGTATTTTGATTTGCTCACTAGATTTGGTACTGACAGACTCTACGGCAGTGACCACTACTTATATAACCACCCGTTTTGACTAATCATTAATCTATAATAACAGAAGTTGAGAGGACCAGCAGGGGATACCAAACATTTTTATCACATAATGTACTGTGTTATCCGGTGAATATACCCACGTCATATTTTTTTGCATATTAATTAACCCATGAAATATGACCTATCAGCTCTGTGATTGGTTGTAAGTTTCAATTGTGACGTCATGCCTAAGTAAGACAAGTACATGATGCCACAGACTTACGCACTGGAGTAAAAATGGTGACTTTTTACATTTCAATATTGCATGAAAGTTGTCATTTTACATGACTCAATGCCACAAATCTTGATTATGTGATAAAAAGTATCTTAACACTTGTTTTCATTTCATATGAATTCAGAAATTCATGAAACACATAACAAAATGGTCAACACATCTGACAACTTCTCGCTTCACTATATAAATGCTACTATTTAAAAATACTGAACAACTCGGTCGCAATCGTTACAGGTAAATTACACATATATATACTAATATAGTAGGCGCATAACACTTACGATGGTCTCAACTCAAATCTACATCAGTTAATACAACAGATATATATACTAGCATATTACCAGCGACTGATACTTGTCACAATATAAGAGTCATACGTATACTTTACAACCAGTTTCAAATATAAAAAGGTTCACAAAACACAACCTACCTCTTCATAGGGAAGAGAGTCTTAATCCAAGGGAAACAACCCGTACTGGTGTACACAGTGTGGTGACACTACAAGTAAGGAAATTTAACTATTACAAATAATCGAACGACCAAATTCATTGTTCCTAAACTTATAAAAGAGTTACAAAATGGCGCGAAATTCAAAATACAATTAATTGAAGAATTTCATTAATTCACAAAATATATAGAATTTAAACTGATCTGCATTACAATATTAACACAGTACATATGTAAACAATCCTTAAAACTATGTTCTACTTACAATTAAAGTTATCTGTTGCCAATCAGTCCATAAATTGAAAGATGCAAAATGATAAACATCTATCGGTCCTCAATAAAGCCTTGCACGGGAGTGATTTTCTATTGGCGCGTAGTTCACTGCGCAGCCTCGCACTGACGAATAGCTGACCACTACACAAAGTTATATAAATAGTATAACCCCTGACCCTTGTCAGACAGGTTAACACGAAAGTTAAAAATAAGCCACCATATTTACTCATGCATGAAGTTATTACATTGCACTCAGTTATTATTATTATTATTTAATCCAACTAAAATAAATAATACATCGTCATTAAATAATGACACTGCTACATATACTTATAATGAGAAGTTTAGTCTGTAGCCTACATTTGCCAAAGTCTGTGTTAGAGCATTTCATGTGATGAAGGAGTGTTGTATACTGTAGAATTTGAAATTGGCTCTTATGCCCCCTCTATATACAGAGTTATGTCCCTTTGTTAGTCTCTCTTAACAAAATTGGCGGGGATATTGAAATTGGCTCCATTCCGTCCATTGCAGGTCAAGTATTGAAGTCAATATCCAGGAAACTATTAATGCTACATTGATTATATTATCATCGATAATGTAGATGGGGTTGATCTACTGAATGCAGGTTGCAGATGCTGTATTTGACCTACTTTTAATGCTTCTATGTCATGACTAAGCAGTTTTCAAGTTCAGAATTGCACAGTCCATATCTTGGCTACTATTTGTGCTACCTGGATTGTTTTTGCATCAATATTGCAGTTTGGGTTGCTCTTCTGATACAAGCTAAAGGTTGCAGATGCTGCATTTTACCTAACTCCTGTGTGTGGTTAAGTGGCTTGAATGATAAGTTTTATGCAAGCACATGACAAACTTGGACATTTAAAAGATAACAGTATTTTCAGTATTGGCATCTTGTTAACATTTGGGAATTGAGCAAGGGGAGAGGGATCATTCGATGTATTCTTCATGAATGTTTCATTTGTAACAAAAAACATTCACAGATTGCATGAGTGAAGTGCTGTTAAGATGTTCAAATAAATGACCTTGACCTATACTGTATGTTACAGTAGTAAAATATGGGGAAATCTCCAAAACATTTGATCTACATACCTGGGTAATCACGAGTCTAGAGTATCAATAATTGGTAGGGCCATCACACTTACCCAAGGACCCAAACATGGTTTGGTTTTCATTGGAACCTGGGTCTAAAAATGTGTACCTGGCCATGGGTATTCATAAAAAAAATAGGTAACTGTTACGATGCGATTGTGTCATCAAAGGAAAATAATCTAATATTTTAACATCTCCGCCGATGTTCTTTAATCACTGTATTGAGGTACAATCTTTAGTAAATCAGACAGAGGAAACAAGGATATTTTTCGAACATTTTTAAGTACATGTATCTATTACATGTACAAATCCTTGACTTATTTCAACCCCCATACAGCATCAAACAAACTGATATTTCAATATCCCAGCCATTAATTCTGTTTTAACTGACAGATGATGACATTTTAGGGTTTTATGTTCACCAGCATTGTAATTACAATTTTTCTCATGGCTGTATTATGATCTCTGGGGTTTAATGTGTCAAACACTTCAAACAATTTCTTCTGAAGAACTGAAATAAATAGAATCATCATGTATGGCTGGTGGCTTCCTGGGATAGAGCCAGACAAATTTAAAACAAGAGGCCCAGAGGGCCTGTATCGCTCACCTGGATACCAAAGCAATCATGGCAAAATATTCTCAGAATGAGATCAAGGGAATATGCCAGACCCCAAGGCCAATCCTTGTAGCATATCTGTATTAGATTTTTCATGCCCAGCAATTTTATGTATGGTTATGGGGTGGGGATCTCAACTGTTTCCAAGCTTTGACTCAGAAACTAGGTCCCTAGGGTTGTGGCCAGACCCCAGGATCAATTCTAATATCGTGACTGCATTTGTCTCTTTTTGCCCAGAATTTGTATATATAGTTTTGGGGTGGGGATCTCAACCGTTTCAAAGTTATGACCCAGGGGTTAAGTCAGCAAGGGTGGGGCAGACCTTGGGGTCAATTCTAATATCATGACTGCATTCGTCTTTTTATGCCCAACAATTGTATATATAGTTTTGGGGTGGGGATCACAACAGTTTTAAAGTTATGGCCCAGGGACTATGTCTCCAAGGGTGGGGCCGGACCCTATAGCCATCCTGGAAGCAAATGTGCATTCTTCTCTTTATACTTAGCAATTGTATACCATGGTTATATGGTGGAGATCTCAACCATTTCCAAGTAATACACATTTTTTGGCCCCACCGCTTAGCCCGGGGGGTCAGCCCAACCATATGTACAATTTTTAATCCCTGCCTCCCATGAATGCTTCTGACAAAATATGATCAATATCCATGGCATAGTTCTACAGAAGAAGTCGTTGATAGCAATATAGCCAAATTGCCCCCTTTTTGGCCCCGCCCTCAGCCCCACCATTTGTACAATTTGAATCCCCACCACCTAGGAATGCTTCCAGTCAAATATGGTTGATATCCACTTCTTAGTTCCAGAGAAGAAGTCGCTTAAAGCAATATCGCAATATTGACCCCTTTTTGCCCCGCCTCTCAGCCCCCTGGGGGTCAGCTCCATCATTTGTACACTTTTGAATCCCTGACACCTAGGGATGCTTCCAGTCAAATATGGTTGATATCGACGTCTTAGTTCCACAGAAGTCGCTTAAAGCAATATAGTCAAATTGACTCCTTTTGGCCCCGCCTCTCAGCCCCCTGGGGGTCAGCCCCATCATTTGTACAATTTTGAATCTCCACCACCTAGGGATACTTCCAGTCTAATATGGTTGATATCCATGGCGTAGTTCTACAGAAGAAGTCATTTGTAGCAATATATCCAAATTGCCCCCTTTTTGGCCCCGCCCTCAGCCCCACCATTTGTACAATTTGAATCCCCACCTCCTAGGAAGGCTTCCAGTCAAATATAGTTGATATCCATCTCTTAGTTCCAGAGAAAAAGTCACTGAAAGCAGTATAGCCAAATTGTCCCCTTTTTGCCCCGCTCCTCAGCCCCCTGGGGGGTCAGTCCCATCATTTGTACAATTTTGTATCCCCACCACCTAGGGATGCTTCCAGTCAAATTTAGTTGAATTCCAATCAGTGGTAAAGAAGAAGAAGTCGTTCAAAGAAATTGTTGACGGACGGACACAACGGTATGGCATAAGCTCACCTTTGTTCAAGGTCACAGGGGTCAAATATGTCAAACACTTCAAACGACTTCTTCTGAAGAACTTAAAGGTAGAGAATCTTAATATTTGGCTGGTTACTTCTATGGGTGGATCTCGACAAAATTTGTGAATGAAAATTACCTTGAACTTTTTTCAAGGTCACAGGGCTCAAATACTAGTATGTAAAAACACTTCATGCAACTTCTTCTTAGGAACTTAAAGGTATTAAATCTTCATATTTGGCTGGTAACTTCTTTAGATTGAGCTAGACAAAGTTTGCAAAAGGAAATGACCTTGACCTACTTTCAGGGTCACGGGGGTCAAATATGTCAAAAACATCAAACGACTTCTTAATAATCGAATGGCATAGAATCATTATATTTGGCTGGTGGCTTCTTGGGAAAGAGCTCACCAAAGTTTGCAAATGAAAATGACCTCAACCTACTTTAAAGGTCAGAGGTCAACAACATTTCAAACGATTTGTTCCGAAGAATCAAAATGAATGGATTCATAAGATTTGGCTGGAAGCTTTGGAAAAGAAATAACAAAGTTTCAGAAGGAAAATAACCTTGACCTTCTTACAAGGTCACAGGGGAAAATATGTCAAACACTTCAAACAACTTCTGAAGAAGAATAAAAAAGCATAGAATCATATAACAATATTTTGCTGGTAGTTTCAACTGATGAGTTGACAAAGTTAGCGAGTGAAATATGTGTAGTGATCGATACTCGGATGATGGACAGGCCAGGTGACGCCCCATCTATATCGAGTAGTGAATATGCATATTTTGAACTCCTAGTACAGGGTTACGTGATATGCGACACCACAGTGGCACAACTTATCCGATATCCCGTTCATTACGTGTCCTGGAGACACATATATTACAGGTCTAACTTTATACTGTAATTATACGTCTCGGCATGTACCCATCCTGAAACGCCCTTAACATATTTAATCACAAGTGATGACAGCAACCAATATATGTTGTATGGATAAAACCATAATTATTTGTTGAGATGTAAAAACTTAATTTTAAACCGTTATTGAATGGAGTAGGCAAATAGTGCCTTAAAACGGGACTCTTTTTCATATATTTCTATACACATTAGAGAGAAAAATATTTCCTTATTCCAAACAAATAGACTTGCATGTTACTGATTATAAGTGAAATGAAACAAAAATTCATGAAATTGGGAAGGTCCATTTACATTTTCGTATCCCGATTTCAGCCGACATCCCGAGAAGCAATATTTGAATGAAACATTTTTTAAACTATCATGTTATTCACATTTGTTTGTGACAGAGACAGTTTGATTGACACTAGACATAAATTGGTGGTTAACGTATACATGTGGGTATACATACTTTTCATGTGATCTACGTGTTCGCGATTATGACAAAACCAAATTGAAAGAAAGTATATGTGTTCCATGTCTACATGCTCTAATACTACGTCCAACTCAGATGCAAAAATTGTTTGGTAAAAACCTGGATGTGTGAATATATATAATCATGTAACGTTAAATGGGGTATACATGTATTAATATATATATATGCAAGTAGGAGGAATACAAGCGATTTGTTAGCAGGCTTCAGAAGATAACATTGCAAATATATGCAACATAATTAAACCGACTCTTATGTAATACCTATTTATTTTGTTATAAATCAAGTAAAATATGGAGGTTTCATTCTGTGTAGCCGCTGTTCTATTTATATATGCGCATCTTATTTACGTTCCTGCCCTATCAGAATTGTCCTCCAATGTCATTTTTTACATAAATAAAATTTGTGTTCGCCCGTCTTCAACTGAAATTTGTTGAGCATTGTATTAAGTACATGTATGTAGTTCATGCCAAGAGAACACTGTCAGACCTGTCCATTGAAAAAAAAACCAGAACTATATAGGAGGTGTTAATCCTGAACCCTAGCTACTCTTATATGTACCAGTGACGTCCCCAACCTGCTACTATGACTGACATCACAAGAAAAAGTGATCGGTTAGCTCATTAAAATTCTCGCCAGTCAGGAGCAGTCGATCGCCATTGGTTGCCTACATCTAAGTAACTGGACACTTCTGAATGCTTGTTGATTGATGATTCGGCATTTATTCAAGTAACATGCTTGTATGAAGGGCTACCAAGTTTGTTCAAATGAATTACCTTGACCTATATTCAGGATCAAGACGACTTGACCTTGCATAAGGCCTAAAATGTTGATATTTGGCCAGTAGCATGCTTGGATGAAGGGCTCTAAAAAGTCTTAAAAATGAAAAACCTTGACCTATATTCGAAGGTCATAGACGTCAAATATGTTTTAAAATTTTTTGATATTTTCTGAAAAACCAAAATGCCAAAAATGTTGATATTTAACTAATAACATGCTTGGATGAAGAGCTATCATGGTTTTTTTATTCGAATCATCTTGACACACTTTCACGGTCACATTTGCTCATAAGTGTATACGCCTTCTCATTAAATATTATACTGTACTACAAATATTTCAATTGCAATCTTTGTCGGCTCAATCCGTTTTCGGTGCTTCAGAAGAGGTTGTTTAAAGTGTTTGACATATTTGTCCCTATAACCATTGTAAGTAGATTGTGGTCAAAGCTGGTGTTAATCTCTGTTCGGCACGTTTTTGTTTACGCGCCTTTCACACTACGACCTCAGATCAGACGAGACTACCCGCTGAATTTAAGCATATCACTAAGCGGAGGAGTCATTTCCTTCTCAAATTTTGTTGGCTCTATCCTAAGCAGCTACCAGCCGAATCTTATGAATCCATGCATTTAAGTGTTGTTAACAAGGTCATTTTCATTTGCATATTTTGCTGAGCTCTATCCCAAAAAGCCATATACTGCTTCGAAGCAGATATATATATACATATATAAATATTTTGATAGGGGATGCCAGGGTTGGGGAGCCCTGGAGTCAGCCCCTGAACAATATGGTGTCCTCATTTGATGTTTTTGACATGTTTGACCACAGTGACCTTGAAAGTAGGTCAATGTCATTTTCATTCGTAAACTTTGTGGAACTCAATCCAAAGAAGATACCAGCCAAATAGTATGACTCTAAACGACTTCATCTGAAGAACTGAAAGGTATAAAGTGTTTGACACATTTGACCCATGTGACCTTGAAAGTAGGTCAAGGTCATTTTCGTTCTCAAAAATCAGCCAAATATGAAGATTCTATACCTTTCGGTTCTTCAGAAGATGTTGTTTGAAAGGTTTGGCAAATTTGACTCCCGAGACCTTGAAAGAACATTAAGGTTATTTTCATTCTCAAGCTTTGTCAGGCTCTTTCCCAGGAACTCACCAGCCAAATATTAAGATTCTGTACCTTTCAGTTCTTCTTCAGAAGTCGTTTGAAGTGTTTGACACATTTGACCCCTGTGACCTAGAAAGTAGGTCAAGGTCATTTTTATTCTCAAACTTTGTTGGACTCTTACCAACAAAGCTTTCAGCCAAATATCATGACTAGAGGCCTGTCCATCCTTCAGAAGAAGTCGTTTAAAGGAAAAGTTGAAGGATGATGACGTACAGACGACAGACACCGCGCCACGACATGAGCTCACTTGTCCTTCGGGCAGGTGAGTTAATAATGTCTAGGGAGGTTATATTTGGTAAGTTGCATGCTGAGATGAAGGGCTGTAAAGTTTGTTCAATGTAATTACCTCGTTCGACTTTCAAAGTCACAAGGGTCAAATGTGTTTAAATCTTTTAACAGGTTCTTTTGAATGATTTGTAGTCATAAATACTGATATTTTGCATATAGCTTTAGTTTAGTCCACTTTTAAGGTTACAAGTTTAAGATTAATACCAGGTGGGTGATGCAGGCCCATTGGGCCTCTTGTTAAGACAATTAACTCATATGACCTTGAATATAGGTGAAGGTCATTCATGTCAACAAAGGTAGTAGCACTCCATCCCAGCATGCTCCTGACTAAATATCATTGCCCTAGGCATTTTGGGTATTCAGAAGTTGTATAAAAGTTTTTAACATATTTGACCTTGTGACCTTGGATATCGGTTAAGATCATTAATTTGAACAAAGATCATCCCAGCATTTACCATCACCCTGGGGCTATTGGTTAATGAGAAGAAGTTGTTTAAAGACAGATCTGGACACTGCGCCAAGGCATAAGATTTAAGGCCCTATGGTTCAGGTGAGCTAAAAAGGCTATTGTACTGTTCAAAAATATAGATTTATTTTGCATGTATTGACGCACAATATACAAATATCCAATATAACAGCTTTACAATTAATATCACTCCCTCACTCCAGATTAATCGATCTCCAATCTTAATAGTAAACTTGCTGTGAATTAATTTGGCTAATTTTCATTCTTCATGATGGTAATAAGTATAAAACAGATCAATAAATAGATATCAACCATGTTGAAGCTGGTTTAAAATTAACATTGTACAACCATAGAAATGATCAACATTTTGATATTGCTTCAGTTCCTGGTAAGATATCCTCGTGCTGAGGTTTATACGTAGTACACTCCTTTTTTTTTACTGTAAACAATACAAATGACTAACAGAATCAGTAATGAAAACCTATTTTGCGATAAGTTACCCCTGAATATATATATCTAACAAAAATGTTTTCTGAAATGTTCAGCTGAATATAGATATTTGTACTATACTACTGTTAAGAAAAACTTCACTTATTAAAAATATTCCAGGTCAATATTGTACATGCATAGTCTATCATGTACAACTAATTGTGATATAATTTAGTAGAATTTTAAAAGTCACAAACACTTCATAACACTGAGAACGACAAAAAGTAGATCATTTATTTGATTCCATGGAGAGACAAAATCACCTCTCTATACATGATCCTGAGCTAGACTGCATCATTTCAACAGTGAGAATGTCATCTTCTGATAATTAGGTCATCATAATCATCAGACAGTTTGTCTCCAAACCATATTTAATAGTTTATTTCTTATATACACACATCAGAAACAAGTTATTTCTTCAAGTAAATGTTCTTAACAGGAAATGGAGTGGAGAGGTTGAACCACACTTGGAAACTACATACATGCCACCCATGTAAGGTGGTACAATAGACTTATTCTTCTCACAAAACCTCATATATTAAGTAAATATCACCACATTTCCACATTTCCACATATAAAATTAATTTTTATTCCTGAAAAATATCCTGCATATGTGTCCATTTATTTGTTGGATGATGGCATCACAGTATAAATGATCTGAGTTCATCAGACAGTCTAATGATGTGTCAACTGTGATTTTGACTCTGTGTAGAAGAAACGGTACAATATCCTTTATATGTAATCTTCACCACGGTGTTCCCTTTTAAGATGAGACTGTGTCCGTTTTGTTTTTGCTGTTGTCTTCACTGTCTTTTTCACTTTTCTCCTTTTCTTTGGCAAAAAACTGCTTTGCAACTTCCTGCAAGTCCTTTTCTTTGAGACCAGAATCAATGTACTGCAAACACAAACATAAAACATGTCATACACACCACGGCTTAATTACTGGAATCAGTCATACACACCACGGCTTAATTACTGGAATCAGTCATACACACCATGGCTTAATTACTGGAATCAGTCATACACACCACAGCTTAATTACTGGAATCAGTCATAGACACCACAGCTTAATTACTGGAATCAGTCATACACACCACGGCTTAATTACTGGAATCAGTCAATACACCACACAGCTTAATTACTGGAATCAGTCATACACACCACAGCTTAATTACTGGAATCAGTCATAGACACCACAGCTTAATTACTGGAATCATATACTGCATGTGAACAACTGCCCATTGTTTCCCTATTCCAACGAAAATAAGACATGCATGGTGACTGCTGATTTACACAGATAAAAACCATAATCTGAAGACATGCATGAATGATTTCCGGATTGCTATGGTAACGCAGTTAGGTTTACTGTTGCCATGTGTGAATTGGTCATTGCTTTACCATCAGGTAACAAGAGGAATTTGGTAATACATGTAGTTACTCTGGCTACCTAACAACTCAAGCTTGTGTTTCACTTATGTACCACAACAAGAAGTATTGGCAACACACTACAAAATATGGCCAGTCAATTAACCCCATCAACACTTTAGACCATAATGGACTCATCCAGATCAATGTATGGTGGAGTCTACCAAAGTAACCTCGGTGTGAAAGGGTTAATACCATCAACACTTAAGACCATAATGGACTCATCCAAATCAGTGCAATGTTGAGTCTACTAAAGTTACATAGGGTTAAAAGGGTTAAAGCACATCTATTACAGTTCTGCTTTCAACATATATAATACAGATAATACATTCCAAGAACACTGATAGTATGAGTAGGCAGTTAATATAATTTAAGATACTTATGTAAGTTATAGAAGTCCTGTACAGCTATTTGTTTTATAGAAGTTCCTGTATGTAGCCTAGGTAAAAACATTTATTGTAATGTTGCGGATCCATTTGTATATGAAGAATTCCAAATACTGGAATATTTCATAAAATAGACATGCATGGACATTTTTAATCAATGCATCATTATGGGAATCAATCCATGAAGCTGGATTACAATTTTGAATGTGACATGTTTGAACTTTAACAATGAGTAAGTGATAGGAACACCTTAATTTCTGCAGACTTATAACATAACTGCAAAATCAGGCACTAAAGCACACTTGGAGGGAGACTTTCACGTACCGGAGTAATTCACAAATCACCTGATTATTGTCATGTATTGTGTTGCATTAGCTGCAAGTTTGGTAAAATAACTAATCATACCACAAACACCAATAGCACAATATTGAATACTGCCATTTACCAAAACGAGTTTAAACTCGGTGTTTTAAAAACGTATTATGAAGTTTCATGTCAAATACTGAACGCGGATTTGGGAAATATGATACAGTTTTACTTGACTTTGCCTTTAATAGTGGGAAACAAATTATGAATGTCTACCAACTGTAGAATGTTTAGGAATATCAAGAAACAAAATAGTTGATGTTCAAATATTGCAGTCGGTGTAAATTAAATCTCAACATCCTTCTTTTTCAGTGCAGTGTTCTTCACTTAAGAAAACACATTATAGCTATCAGGGCCCGTATTCATGAAACTGTTCTCATGTTCAAATTAGAAAACTTGGAGCTCAAACCAACTTTTTGGTAACTGACTTTATTCATGTCAAATGATCAAAAAGTCAAATGTAAACATTGAAAACACTATTTGGCTTTGAGTGTCTTCAAATTATTGACAAAATATTATTTCATTATTAATTGATAAACAGAACAAGAAATTAGGCTTGAGCACAAAATCCATGTTTGAGCATGAGAATGGTTTCATATATGCATGAATACGGGCCCAGATATATCAAACTCGTCTCACCCTGCGTCCTAATTCAGCTTTACGCTTGATGTTCATGGTAAGGATTCCAACAACATCTTCGCCTTTTCTGTAGAACACCACCTTCCTGTTATCACCATCTTCTACGTCCTGTTAACATCAAAGTTCTTAAACATTTAAACATGATCCTATAATATTTGTAATTTAAAGAGTTATCTCCCTCAATTAAAAAAAAAAAATCTACCATAGTCTGACGTCCTTCATCAAGGTAAGGATAATGTCAGAGCTCTGCATAAAAAGGGAAATAGGCACAGATATTACCTGAACTAGCAAATGACTCAGTGTTGACAACGCTGGGAGGTTTCTCTTATACTTTTCAAAAATATGTCAGCAAGTCATTATTACCAAATCCAAATAAGCATGAGTTTACAAGTTGTTAGGGCAGATTTTTTGGAAAAGAGATAGAAGTCACCAAATTTATTTCAACCTTGATACAATAATTGTTATAAATGTATATATATATTGAAATCGTTATACAATTCCCCTTGTTTATGTAGTGTAAATTTATAAAATAGACCTTAACTCATTCACCCCTGAAATTTCATAATGATCTATTCCGTCCTTTGAATTGGAAGAGTTCAAATGTTTCTTCAGGGGTGAAGGAGTGAATACACACACATAACACTTACTTTGATGAGTTCACTAAAGGTGGTACTTTCCAGTTTTGAGTCCACAAGGCCCACTGCCTCCATAAACATATCCCCAATGTCAGACCTAAAATACAAATGTTACTGCTTTAATATCATCATTTATACTATGTACCGACTTACCAGAATGTAGACTGATATATACCGACTTACCCGAATGTAGACTGATATGTACTTACCAGAATGTAGACTGATATGTACTTACCAGAATGTAGACTGATATGTACCAACTTACCAGAATGTAGACTGATATGTACCGAATTACCAGAATGTAGACTGATATGTACCGAATTACCAGAATGTAGACTGATATATAATGTTTACCGACTTACCAGAATGTAGACTGATATGTACCGACTTACAATAATGTAGACTGATATGTACCAACTAACCAGAATGTATACTGATATGTACTTACCAGAATGTATACTGATATGTACTGACTTACCAGAATGTAGACTGATAAGTACCAACTTTCCAGAATGTAGACTGATATGTACCGACTTACCAGAATGTAGACTGATATGTACCGAATTACCAGAATGTAGACTGATATGTACCAAATTACCAGAATGTAGACTGATAAGTACCAACTTACTAGAATGTAGACTGATAAGGATCAACTTACCAGAATGTAGACTGATATGTACTAACAAGAATGTAGACAAATATGTACCGACTTACCAGAATGTTAACTGATATGTACTTACCAGAATGTAGACTGATATGTACTTACCAGAATGTAGACTGATATGTACTTACCAGAATGTAGACTGATATGTACTTACCAGAATGTAGACTGATATGTACTTACCAGAATGTAGACTGATATGTACTTACCAGAATGTAGACTGATATGTACTTACCAGAATGTAGACTGATATGTACTTACCAGAATGTAGACTGATATGTACTTACCAGAATGTAGACTGATATGTACTTACCAGAATGTAGACTGATATGTACTTACCAGAATGTAGACTGATATGTACTTACCAGAATGTAGACTGATATGTACTTACCAGAATGTAGACTGATATGTACTTACCAGAATGTAGACTGATATGTACTTACCAGAATGTAGACTGATATGTACTTACCAGAATGTAGACTGATATGTACTTACCAGAATGTAGACTGATATGTACTTACCAGAATGTAGACTGATATGTACTTACCAGAATGTAGACTGATATGTACTTACCAGAATGTAGACTGATATGTACTTACCAGAATGTAGACTGATATGTACTTACCAGAATGTAGACTGATATGTACTTACCAGAATGTAGACTGATATGTACTTACCAGAATGTAGACTGATATGTACTTACCAGAATGTAGACTGATATGTACTTACCAGAATGTAGACTGATATGTACTTACCAGAATGTAGACTGATATGTACTTACCAGAATGTAGACTGATATGTACTTACCAGAATGTAGACTGATATGTACTTACCAGAATGTAGACTGATATGTACTTACCAGAATGTAGACTGATATGTACTTACCAGAATGTAGACTGATATGTACTTACCAGAATGTAGACTGATATGTACTTACCAGAATGTAGACTGATATGTACTTACCAGAATGTAGACTGATATGTACTTACCAGAATGTAGACTGATATGTACTTACCAGAATGTAGACTGATATGTACTTACCAGAATGTAGACTGATATGTACTTACCAGAATGTAGACTGATATGTACTTACCAGAATGTAGACTGATATGTACTTACCAGAATGTAGACTGATATGTACTTACCAGAATGTAGACTGATATGTACTTACCAGAATGTAGACTGATATGTACTTACCAGAATGTAGACTGATATGTACTTACCAGAATGTAGACTGATATGTACTTACCAGAATGTAGACTGATATGTACTTACCAGAATGTAGACTGATATGTACTTACCAGAATGTAGACTGATATGTACTTACCAGAATGTAGACTGATATGTACTTACCAGAATGTAGACTGATATGTACTTACCAGAATGTAGACTGATATGTACTTACCAGAATGTAGACTGATATGTACTTACCAGAATGTAGACTGATATGTACTTACCAGAATGTAGACTGATATGTACTTACCAGAATGTAGACTGATATGTGTAAGACAGACCTCCTCCTGTCATATTCTGTCCAGCTGTGCGGCCGCTCTGCTCAGCATTGTCGTAATGTTCTATCCGGCGACGACCTAGCCGTCTGTCATAGAAACAGGCAGCATCTCCAGCCTGTGTATAACCAATTCCAAATGTTAGTTAACATCTTTTAGAAGTGTGAATATAAATAACTCCATGCTGATCCATATACAAACTAACGTTTTTGATATTCAATAGTTTCATAATGTTTTGGCAGCTTTTTCACATTTCAGGATATATTGAACTCTACTGAAAGAAAAATTATTTCAATTACATTTGAGAACAGAATAGTATTGGTCTCAGTGTCTTCAAAGAATAGAAAAATTATTCAATACATTTTTTGGAATTACTTGCATTAATTGGCTTGGTAAATAATAAATAATGCATCTGGTCCTTCAATTTTGCCTCAGAGATTATCGATGACTACTTACCACCCAGACATTAGTTCTTGCCTCCAGCTCGGAGTTGACCAGGAAACCACCAAGATTGCTGTCTACCTCCAAACCAGCTGTTGCTGCTAGGTCCACGCTCGGCTCAAGTCCTACCGCTACCACCACCTGATCTGCCTTTAACTGTGGTAACAAAGTAACGCATAATTATATAAAAGTAACATAAAGTAACACATCCCGCAGTAACACACTCTAAATGTAACACAAAATTGCCATGTAACATTACACACTGTATACCCTGATATTTTGTCGCAGTATAACTTGGTTCGTGGTATACCGTATGTTAAAGTAAGTTAACACAAAAAATACCAGTCATAGATATTAACTTTTCTGTTGTACAACCTTGGATAAACCAACCAACCATCCATATTTTTCTAATGATCCAGTAACAGCAAGGACTAATATCAAGTCACATAAACTTTGTCTAATTTTTTATTCAAGAGAAAGTGAAGCGTAAAAAATAAAATGTATATTACAGACTTACCTGAGTATTGTCGCTTAGGTTGAGTACAACTTGGTTGTTCTCAAACCCCACTGAGCAAACCATCCTCTCGGTCAATACCGTCACTCCTTCTGTAAACGGTGAAAAAATAATTGACCGGTCAGAAAAGCATTCTGACCAACAACCCCATTACCTTCCCTTACAATGGTCAGGTCTAATAGAAGTTGGAGAAGTCAAAAATGACTTGATCAGGCCATTAGATAAAGCCATATGGATCAAATCTGGGTAAAATTGACATATTATTGATTTTGGCTGTTTCTTATAAAATCAAGTGAACATGTATACTCATCCTAGGTCCAGCCTCTCTGCCCTGACAGGGGGACTAACTCTTTATTATACTGAATATACTTTGGATCCCATAGTAATGCTTCACACCAAATTCAGTTAAACAAGAGATCCCAGAGGGATTTTGGCACTCATGGCGTGGCCTAATCTTCCCAAAAAATTAAGCATACATTTGACCTTAAGCCTTGAGTTAAAGGTCAGTGATCTCACTGGACTGGTGACCTTACCTGACGTGACATGTGAGGTCAACCATTTACTCAGCTGCTCTGGTAGCACTAATCCAAGGTTGCCTGGAAACAGAGGAAAAGCAACAGTGCATATGTATATATTGGAGTTTAGGCCAAGTTTGACACCTGAAGTATGAGTAATTCATATATTTCTGACATCACTATTCCAATGAATTAAGATTGCCTGAAGAGCCCCAAAATTGGCGAAAGTTATAATGAGACATTGTATTGTAAATCGAATGATATACATTGGAAATATCAATTTACAGTTAAGACAGATAACTTGTATACAACTTGTAGGTTGGGAAAAGGTTTGAGTACACACAGACAAAAATATAAGTATCAACTTCTTACCTTTCTCTGGGAAAACTTGTGTTACAGTTGCGCCAGTTGCATCCTGGGTGGCTGCAATCATAATAGAAAGTAGCTTATTATATTTCAATTTTTTAAGTGGAACAAAATTAATATGAAGTTATCATACACTTCAATTTTTGTGATTTAACGAACGACAGGCATAACTAGAATTGCTGCCAGAATGGCACCCTAATATCCCAATCTTTGTCAAGAACTGTCATAAAAAGGGGAGGTGACTCCAATTTACATACTGGATTCAAATCCCCCTAATGCAAGTGTTAGGTATAACAATTACCATTCAAATTGGTGTATTACTATGGAAGGAGTAGTGCGCAGAAATCTTATTAGTAAAGGGGTATAACTCCATGAATAGGAGAGGCATTTCCAATTCATAAACTTTATTCACATCCCTTACTGTAAGAGTTCTGTGTACCACGTATCATCCAAATTGGTGCAGCACTTTCAAATAAGTAGTGAAAACAACTTTTATCAACAAAAGGACATAACTTCATTAAATCACATCCCTTACTGTGAGAGTTATGTGTACCAAGTTCCATTCAAATTGGTGCAATGTAATATTTTACGAGGAGTAGCGTGAACAATGTAGTGTCTACAGACAGACAGACATAAAACCCTTAGCATATACATGTACTACCTTTAATACTTTGTTGTTGCTGTTATCATTATTATCGTATTTGTTCTAATAATAACACCTCTTCCTCGACTTATGGGGGAAAATACCCTAAAAAGTTATTTTGTTTGGCTATTTACCTTCTGTTCCATTTTTTAGTAACAATGATCTTGACCTCAGCAACTTTTGAAAACTATGTATATTACACAGTAACATATATTAGTGTATTTTGGAGGAGCTGTCATACATGCTGCTAACTACTGTATACCAGGAAACTTTCGCCCCGTCAAAACTTTTGCCCTTCACCGACAGAGTCCTTATTCACCCAGTGTTAAATTTGCCCTACACCGCCGGACAAACTGGACCTCAATCTTCACATACTGTGACAGAGTTAAGCATCAGTGTGGACGAAATAGTGACAAAACATATTCCGTCTTAAACGTAATTTCTTTTTAAACATTCGCCGTCATGTTAAATCCGCCCTCAGATCGAAAGGGGCAAAAGTTAAACTGCGGCGAATGTTTCCCGGTATACAGTATTTGCTTCCTTTTACCTCCACATGTGTACATGCTTGCAAGGATGCTGCAGGAGTGTTAGTATTCTGTTTAGAAGTGAGACTGCTTCAAACGACATGTTTTTTCACGGTGCCACCTCATTTAAATATTACAACACAGACACTAGCACCCATCCCAGACCACTGCTTATTTTACTTCACCTGGGTTATTGGAGAAGTGTGGGTAGAAGAAAAACGCTTCTCAGAAAATTCCATACTACAATAACTTTGGGGATAGAGCCAAGCGATTCAGCCAAATCCATCCTAAACTTACTTCCACTTATTTCTACTCTGAAGGAAAACCACCAGGTTCTGCTTCTGAGAATTTATCTTTGATCTAAAGAGATATTCCCAGTTCCTAACTGCCTACCATTGATGTAAATGTATCTGCTTAGTTGTCGATTGCCTACCTCTGTTCTGAAGAGAAACTGCCAGCTCACTCCCTAGAAATCCTCCCCCTATAACCACAAATGACTTGGCTGATGAGCTTAGATCATACAGCTTTTTGAAGTCATCCACCTGAAAAATAGAAGTCAATTTGGAATGCATTAAAATGAGACATATGGTAATACAAATTCCATATCTGGAAATATTCTACAGTAAAAGATCGAATGAATATTTAAGTTGATGTAATACTATTACAGCGAAACCTGTCTCACCCTGATTGATAAACACCATCAGGATTAATAATGGTGACAGGACTAGTAGGTTAACAAATTACACAGGAAGATATAACATGGATGTCCCCATCAAACATAAAAACATTGAGCAACATGCATACATTATACATAGCAGGACACATGTGCAATCAAAATGGTTTTGCTCAACTGCGATACATATCAGTACGTATTTTCACTGCTAAATCAACAATATCGACAGTTAGAAAAATGACTTTTTATTTGTTTCTGCACATCAATGAATTTATTGTTAAGTTTGGAAATTGGTTTTGTCCAATTTGTTCACTGAACTTGGTGAAAAGATCGTGAAGTAGCCCTTCGTCAAATGTGGTGACGGGTCACAAATACCGTTTGGTATATTTTCGTCAAACATGGTCGCTAAAATGTATCAAATGTGGTCGTTAAACGTAATTTTGGGGCCAGTATTTGGTGGTTGCTGGTCGCATTAGACAGATGATCGCTTAATATAGTTAAATTACATAGTAAAAAGGGTCGGGAGGAATGAAAAGTGGTCGCATAAAACAGATGGTCGCTTGAGCAGATTCAACTGTACCTATAATGATATGGTACATGTCATGCACCAAAAATTTCAAAGTTGATTATATTGTACAGTGGATTGGTTTTATTTTGTTTATCATCCTATTTTAAAACAACTAGGGTAATTGAAGGGCGTGCCTCCATTGATGTTGTGTGCGTATGCCAGAGGCATTTGGTACACAGTACGTGATACTGATGCACAATCACTAGCGTTGTAAAAACATGTACTTTGGGCTGGAGGCCTATAATACTGAATCAATATTAAATTGAAAAACGAGAACCACAGGAGTGGATGTGTCGCCTGCTCAGCGCTTTTATTGAAAAAAGTGTTTTGGCTTGAGTTATCGCATTAACAAGCAAAAATGAACAGCATTAACAATGAACAGCGTTGCTATGTCAAGTGTGATATGCCAAAAGGAAGAAAGTTGTAATTTGACAGAAAAACCCGTAATATATGTTGAACATTATTGCTTTTAGCATTACTGTACAAAATTTGAATGGAATTGATAAAAAAATAAAAAAGTTCTTGCATTTACTACACAATGTTTTTATTTGGCAATAAAAGGGGCATAACTCCACAAAAAACTCGTCGGAGCTAAATTGGTATGCCATATGTGTACCAAGTTTGAGTTCAAGCAACCCCATTGAACTCAAGTTATTGCATGGAAACTTCGCTTAAAACAACACAGACAAAGTAATACCTATATGTATTGAAAAAAATGAAAATAACATGGATGTACAGTGGGATTTTGAGGAAGTCAGGATTATAGAGGCTCCAGGACAGGATAGTTCCAGCTTAAGTTAGACAGGGAACACTGTAAAGAGGTTACTATGTGTAAACTGAAATATCATAACAATGAAGTGGCTTAAAATGGTTTTATTCGACAAGTACAATGTAAAAGTTTGAAGAAATACAGTGTTGGACTCACCGATCGGAATAATGTCACTCGATCCTGAACCTGTTTTGATGCTTCTTTGAATATGGGAAGATTTCTTGGTTTTCCACCTGAAGTAATGAATGTTAGCCTTACTTGACTTCCAACCAAAAAAACTGAATGATTGTCAAACAAGATAACATGCATTTAAGTTGCTTAAAAATGTGTATCTCTAGATCTGTAATTGCATGGTCTCCTTATGTAGTAGAATGTAAAAGAAATCAATATCACATACTTATAATGGAGCCTTACCTAAAACTCTGTGACAGTTACAGGTATTTGTTGTACCTATGCAAGCCTCAACACATCCTCTGTCACACCTGTACTTACCAAGAACATGTACCAGTTAACATAATACAGCATGTATTATACCTGTACTCACCTGTAGCAATAAGACATTTGTCAAAGCCGATTTCTTTTCCACATTCCAGATACACCTTTCTTTTATCTGCATCTAGTTTTGTTACCTGTATAACACAAAATTCAGAGTTGTGTTCAAATTTAGGATAATAGCAATATTAATACAATGACATGTACATCTCCGATACTCCAGGGGTTATGCTGCTCACTTGCTCTATGAACATCTTGAATATACACAGACAAATTTTGTTCATGTGAACTTCATGTGAATCTCATTTCACATGAAATTCACGTTAAATTTGATTCACGTGAATTTCACATGAATTTCACATCAAATTTTTCACGTGAATTTCACGAATAAGCTCGTTTCAGGTGAAATTCACATGAAAAATTTCATGTGAACCAATTTTGCCTGTTTATGTCATTACAAAATGGAAGGCTAGGTGTGCGCCACCTTGTAAATGAGACAAGAAGACTAACTTGATCCTTTGATAAACATAAAAAGAATATCCTTATCGCATAACGGTAAAATTGACTGGCTTTGGGGTTGGGCGTGCTCCTCTGTAATCTTAAAAGGACAGGTATCAGCCTAGCACTTGGTCAGTTTAATATACCCGAGACCAATCAAATAGCTAGCCGCCTGCCTTCAAGTTTGCTATGACATGTTACAGGGGTGCAGAGACCATTAGCGAACATAACCCCTTGAGTATCGAGGATTATAGTGATAGTACTCCCTAAACGTGACATCGGGAAAGGTCTCAAAATGCATACGGTGTCTGAATTCTCAGGTCCCTGTGATCCATATTTCTAATAATTGACATCTGTACATAGAACTTCTTACTTTGTATAGATCAGAGATATGCAACTTATATTTCCCCTTTCAAGTTTATAAAGGAGGCTAGATTGGTAGACTTTCGATCAGAAAAATCAAAGTTCATACTCTTACATCACAATTCAAGTCCAATACAATAGTAACAATGTCACCTGCCAGTGAAGGTTTTGACTCGGATTTATCAACAGTAATTTTGCACGGTTTCGTGTCACTTGCATTCCCTTGATGCCTTTTCATTGGTCAATATATGCTTACTGATATATGACACAGAACTTCTTGACAGCCTGATAACAATTCTGATTGATTGAATGTAAGCATGTGTCTTCAATTAGCGAGTGGTTCAATGTTGAAAATGAGATATTTTGTAATGAGGGTGATGCTCTCTTTATACAAGTACATTGTCAAAAGCTATCGTTTTATCAATGTCCAATCATGATATGAAAACAAAACCAATAAGATCCTGTAGGAAAAAATATACCTACATTTTGGCCACCTAGAACACAAACACCTCCATTTTCATTTTCCAAAAGCTCCTCAGCGGAGAAGTAGTAACTGTCAGACTCGTAGTAAATACTGCAACATAACAAACAGTTACTGGTCTCATGAAATAAGATCTCAAACATGTACTGATTTCAAATCCCACATCCTTGTTCCCCCTTACCTCTCATAGATGTGACACAAACCTATCCCCTAATCCCTCACTGTTTTGATACATCCCTACCCACAACCGCTCAATGATGCGATATATCTCTATCCCCTTACCAGCTAACCTGTCTATGAAATGATGTAACCCTACACTGATATGATACATCCCTACCCCCTTACCATCCATCCTTCAATGATATACCATAACCCTACCCCTTGCCCCCTTGCTGATTTGATACATCCCTACCCCCAACTCCTCAATGGTATGATATATCCCTATCCCCTTATCTGCTAACCTATCAATGAAATGACATAACCCTACCCCTTCCCCCTTATTGATATGATACATCCCTACCCCCTTACCCTTAACCCCTCAATGATGTGGCATAATCCTGCCCCTACCCCCCTTACTGATATGATACATCCCTACCCCCTTACCCTTAACCCCTCAATGAAGTGGCATAATCCTGCCCCTGCCCCCCTTACTGATATGATACGTCCCTACCCTCTAAACCCTCAATGATATGGCAGTACCCTACCCTTTCCTGATATGATACATCCCTACCCGTACCGCTCAATGATATGATATAAGCCTTCCCCCTCCCCCATAATGATATGATATATCCCTACCCCATACTGATATGCTATATCCCTACCCCATACTGATATGATATAACCCTTCCCCCTACCCCATAGTTATATGCTATATCCCTACCCCATACTGATACGATATAAGCCTTCCCCCTCCCCCATACTGATATGATATCTCCCTACCCCATACTGATATGATATAAACCTTCCCCCTCGCCCATACTGATATGATATATCCCTACCCCATAGTGATATGATATAAGCCTTCCCCCTCCCCCATAATGATATGATATAAGCCTTCCCCCTCCCCCATAATGATATGATATAAGCCTTCCCCCTCCCCATACTGATATGATATAAGCCTTCCCCCTCCCCAATACTGATATGATATATCCCTAATCCACCCTGATATGATATAAGCCTTTCCCATAATGATATGATATATCCCTACCCCATACTGATATGATATAACCCTTCCCCCTACCCCATAGTTATATGCTATATCCCTACCCCATACTGATACGATATAAGCCTTCTCCCCCTCCCCCATACTGATATAATATACCCCTACACCTCCCCCATACTGATATGATATAGCCCTACCCGTACCGCTCAATGATATGATATAAGCCTTCCCCCTCCCCCAGACTGATATGATATATCCCTACCCCATACTGATATGCTATATACCTACCCCATACTGATATGATATATCCCTACCCGTACCGCTCAATGATATGATATAAGCCTTCCCCCTCCCCCATAATGATATGATATAAGCCTTCCCCCTCCCCCATAATGATATGATATATCCCTACCCCATACTGATATGATATAAGCCTTCCCCATACTGATATGATATATCCCTACCCCATACTGATATGCTATATCCCTACCCCATACTGATATGATATATCCCTACCCCATACTGATATGATATATCCCTACCCCCCCCTGATATGATATAAGCCTTCCCCCTCCCCCATACTGATATGATATATCCCTACCCCTGCCCCTAACTGATATGATATGTCCCTACCCTCTAAACCCTCAATGGTACGACATAACCCTACCCCCTGCTCCCTTACCTCCGTGATCCAACAGGGTGCTCTGATTCCATCCACTTACTCATCTTCTCTGGTGCAAGGTACCATAAGTATTTTGACAGGTATGGACGACTATATGGTATATGCTTTTCCTTTCCAATGAGCCAAACCTATACAACAACCATCATAACATTAGAAAATGATAAGGATCTGATCAAAATCATTCACAGAACTCAAGCTGAAGGTTTTATAATATTAAAGTGGTAAGGACTAGACAAAGAGTGACTGGTCAGATGTATGTCTTACCCAACGAGCAATTGTACAACATACATATACTCCAGCTTCTATTTTCATGGAAATAAAGCTAAACAAAAAGTCCAACTAAAGAAAAAGAGTTAAATGCAAAATCTAACTACGTAATCGAAGCACAACATAGGTCGCAGTGAACCTTGTGATGTCGCTAAAGTACTCCTCGGGATTTATCCACAAACAAACTTTGTTGAATTTTGGATTTCCAGTATAAGAGTAATCCGTCATTCTAAGAATTACTTGCTTGTAAAATTTGGCAGTTGTAGTTGACAGGGTATGATAGATTACAAGGAAAAAGTGATGAACAATAACCGGTTGTACCAGTGGGGGACTAGCTATCAAACACATTGCTTATATTTAATTTTGTATGCATGATATATATATGACTTTATATTGTCTCAGAGACTGTCACTTTTATTCCTTGAAAGTATAAGAATGTGCATTTAAGCTGAACACTTAACGTTCCTTACATTCAAGAGTAGCTTTGAGCCCAACACTGCGGTTCCCTGAACTAACTATCAAAATCAAAAGACTAAGAGACATATTTTAGTCAATGTTCCAACACACCCTTTTTCTCTCTTTACAGTCAAAATCTGCCAGGTAGCTAAAACCACACTTTTGTTTCCTCGTCTCAGTATCAAACTCTGACTGCGGATGCGAGTCTAGCACTTCTCTTTCTTTACCTTATAACATTAAAGTCCACAACTCCTGTCTCCTTACCTTTTGTTTCAACAAATTGTATTGGACAAAAAATTGCACAATTGAATATGACAAAAGGCTTAGCCTATATAAGTCTTCTCCTATCCAGTATTAATTGACCTTACCTTGGCCTTAGGGTCTCTAGCCTTGATTTCCTGATAGGCAGTAAAGGCAGTGGTGCCAGCCCCAATGATGAGATACTGAGCATGGTCTGGTAAGAAAGGTGGTGGCACTGGTTTTTCAGGTTTTTTAGGTTCCACAGGTGGTTTAGACTCTGATGGTATAATACATTTTATATTATAGACAAAAGTTATACCAATATTGTCACAGGAGCAGAAAAATGCACAGCCAGACTGGGGTTTGAACCCGGGCGCTCTACTAATTGAGCTAACTGGTTGCTGACGATCGACCTAGTCCAGTTTCGCTACATTACATCTATATAGATAAGGTTGTCATAGTTACTGTACAGATACGACAGTAGCATCTGCCTAGTGTTAGTAAGACACTAGAGTCAAATTCTCATCTACGTTGATGTTAAATGCATTCCGGCACTCCTTTATATATATTACTTGTACATGTATATCCAAGAGCATCAGAGATCCGAAAGTTGTGCAAGAAGGCCTTTTAAGTAAACCCTATGTAAAATTTCAAATGACGGAAAAAGTAAGGTACTAATCACATCAGAGCTGTATGTGTTTTGAATATATATATATATGGTAGAATAAGCACCTGGGAGTGGTTATAAAAAAAATAAAAAGACCAAAAACTCATATAAAAAAAAACGCAAAATATGTTGAGTATCAGAATTATTCAAGATTTGTAGATACGTAGATTCATAAGCAGTATTATGAAAATCCTATAAACAGATCTTCTAAATGCCTATTCCTCTTAATGAATAACATCATGCACCATGCATTTATATAAATCAGTAAAAATGTAATTTAAAGTTAATGTGACACAATTTATCTGTTAAAATACAATACTTATATATATAAAAGTTAACATGCATGTACAAGCATGGAACTTTTTAAGGATCAGGTTTAAAAAGTTGAAAAAAATCTTTCCAGTCATAACATTATAACCCTATCTAGCTAACATTTTCGATAAACGGGACGTGTAGTTTTTTTGACAAAATTGAATGACATGTTTACTGTATTAATTAAAATTAAATAGATAGATAGTAAATTTCCTTGCATGTACCTTGATTTTTGTTTTACTAAACTCTGTAGGTGTTTTGTGAAATCCCAAACTACAAACAGATCATTCCCTCATTCACAAGAATCAAAGTGTCGTAGAGACGATTTAAATTTTAAGCAACATCAACAAATTTCTTCACAGAAAATAAAAGATGAAAAGATGATGTGCACTCAGGTTGCCTTGCATTCTGACAGGAAATGTGTTAAAATCCCTCCAATCTAAATCGACATGACATATTAAATCAATTTAACAATAATGGTGGGGCCAAATGAGACTTTTGAAAGAGTCATCTGGCTGTGTAGTGACATGTCACTAAAACATGAAGGTAACAGAATACTTTACTACGTAATGTAGCAGGATTGATACATATTTCTAAACATATGAACAAAATATTTGTTGAAGTGTGCTAAAATGGGAAAAGTGCACTGTTTTCCTTGTCGCTACTGGGGAAAAGAACATGTTTAAAACATGATTAGAAATATCAGTCTCGAGTTCAAACCAAATTGCATGTTCTTATCACCAATAGAGCAACTGAAAACGACGGTATTTTCCGGTACAAAGACATACAGAAAACACAACAAATTTGCATTTTACTATTCATATTACTATCACAATCAACCCTAGTGTCATACAGTTAACTGCTGGAGACCAAGGTGCTAATATAGAACAAAATAGCATCTTTACCACATTGCGTATCTAAAAGTAACAAAACTATAAAACAGAAAGAAATGATTTACCCATTATGAAAAGTACACGTACAAGTAACTCATTTCTATTCAATTCTTTAAAGAAAATTAGATAAGTGTCAAGTGCATGTAACAATCTACAAAGATTTATAATTGCCTTATGTATATATAATAATATACAACATTTGATAAAGCGCCCTATCTAGCTAGAACAAGCCACTCTAAAGTGCTTTACAGTACATAGATATACAATTAATACAATAAGCATATACCGTAAAAACCCATGTAATTTGCGCACTTTTTTTTCAGAAATTTAATACCCAAAGGGGGGGGTGCGTAAAATACACAGGTATAGAAAATTTCAAGTTAGCAGGTACGCAAATTACATGGGTTTTTACGGTACACATATGTACATTAATAAATAAAAATTTGAGGAATTGACAGAAGCTGACTTATACAGCGCTTAGCTACTAGTCCTATTCCAGCTGGCTAATATATCCCTATGTGTGTATGCCTGCGTGTGTGCTGGAGATGTATTGTGTTCTGTTTGTAGTGGGACCGTGCTTTCAACAGCATCATCTATAGTGCCACCTCACTTGAATGCTACAGCACAGATACCGCAACACCCACCCCAGACCAATTTATACTCCACCTGGGTTGTTGGAGTTGTGTGGGCAGGAGAAAAACACTTTCTCTGAATATCCATGCAGATTTAAAGACGACTTCAGGGATCGAACCCTGGCCGCCTGTGTGAAAGGCCTAAGTGTTAACTACTCGACCAACCGGCCCGGCCCATAAAACATGACTGAATAGTTACAAACCCAAGTAAAGGATCAAATATGTATATAGAAAGACAATGATGTTTTATGAAAACTGATATTACTGAAATGTAACTTCAAGCAATTTGGTAAGTCAAATAATTGTGCTCAGACTCATTTCTTTCCATCACAAAAAAGAAAAAACATGTATAATACCTTTACTGGTTTTAGTAGGTTTGGAACTTTCCAACGTTCTTCGCGTGTAGAAAACCTGTTGAGAAATAAAAAAAAAAAAATCCATAAGGATAGTAGCCTTGTACACAATGTATTAAAAAGGAAACATTTTGAGAAATAAGTTCTTTCCACATGAACAAATTTTCCCAAATTGTGTGTACAGGAAGTATGCCTGTCGAGAATTTTTCTAAACACTGTATGTGAAAAGATTGCTGTAGAATTTGGGGATTTTTTTTCTTTTCCAAAAGGATATCTAGTTTCTTGTTTTAACTGAATCCAGTATAATGGAAATCATTCAGTGACATTTTGTTCAAGAGTGATCTATCTCCCTCTAATACAATCCCTCATTCTCTCTAAAAGCAGGGCTTTCATTTGAACCATGAAATTTAGCACTTTCAGAAGTTAAGTAGAATTTTCCCAAAGCGACACCTTGTGTCCCCTACATTAGTATTTTATTTTTTGTGTTTGATTTCCTTATAAATGATCACCAGTTTTCCCATCCTCGATACTCCAGTGGTAAAGCTCTGTTTTGTTTCCTCCAATCATGGAATATGGCATGACCAAATTGAAGGCTCTGTGTGCGCCACTTTGTGGATGAGATGAAAAGACTAGTTTGTTCCTTTGATGTGCATCAAAGCATCTTTTTGATTGTGAAACGCTAAAATTGACTGACTTTGCAGTCAGGTGTCACTCCTCTGTAATCTTCAAAGGACAGGTATCAGCCTAGCAATCGGTCAGAATTTATTATCCATGCTCAATCAAATAGCTAGCCGCTTGCGTTCAATTTTGCTATGATATATTCTAGGGGTGCAAAGAGCAAAGATGAGCATACACCCTTGGAGTACTTAGGATGCAGTTTTCCCCAAAGTTATCACTCCTAAAATGACCTCCCTTTCCTTTCTCTTCTAAAATGATAAAACCCCTCATTTAAAGCAATCACACCATTCCTCCTTTCAACAGTCCATTTGATCAGTCCCTTATATCATATACAATACAAAACATTGCCAATACATCTTTATACTTACCCCAAATGCTGTGAAACCTATGACCACACCAACAGCAGCTATATTAACAGTTTTTTCGGATATGTTTTTAAGTGGTCCTGGAGAACTTGACATCCACCTACTAGGAAGCAGGCATAGCTGTACTTTTCCTGGCAACACAAAAAACAAATATATATATTTAACTTCCTGTGAATAGTAAGGTTGTTCATGACTGCATTTCATTATTTCCATATGCCACTATCTTATTTATATAAAAAAAAAATATGAGAATAACCAGAAGAGGTAAAACTGTTAGTCTGACTTAGAAACTGAACCACATCAAATTAAATGACATATTTTTGCTTTTTTTTTTAGTTTCTTGTCTGATAAGCCAATGTCTGACTGACTGATAATTTAAAATCTCATGTTTGTACAACTTGTTTTCTTTTTTTATTTCTCTGACCAATGTCGAATTATTGTAACACTGACTTTATTCTCCATATATGATGGGGAGGAGAATACCGGTTGTCCAGTACAGAAGACAAGTTAGCTCTGTTTTCTCTGACCCTGACACCAGATCTAGACTTAGACATTTTGATAGATAGATGGCCCACATGTACACCAGCCAGACATCTATCTGTCAAAATGTCTAAGTCTTGTGTCAGGGTCAGAGGAAACTTACTCGAGCTGGTTAGTATGGAATTTTCTGAATTGTTCTGTATACTACACTTCAAGAAGTGCATGGATAACATAATGCAATAAGCCATTGTTTTGCAAAAAATCAAACATCAAAATTAATCATTCGTTTGTGCAGATAATTACGTATTGATTTAATTATAATAGTTTTAATTATTATTTTTGACTTTTACTTACAGAAATGAAATACATTTCACTTTATTCTCCATTTCAGTGATAGATTATTATTACTACACTCACTTGCCCAAATGAAGGTTTTGGGATTGTAAATCATCAATCACAGTACCCAACCTGTTTTTAACCTATCGGCTGACCATATCACAGATACTAGCCTCGTCTGTCAATACACGTATGATTATATTATAGGTGTATTGACAGACGAGGCTAGTACCTTCTCTTCCAGAACTTTATGTATGCGTCCTATCAGAAGGTATGACCTTCCATGGCACTCGTGCACTTTACAATAAATATCGTCTTACTTTGTCTACTAATGTTAGACTTTCTCGGTATGGTTGAGAATGTTCTGGAGAACGTGCAAGCCCCACGTAGGGGACATGTCACAATTCGATTCATGATGTAAGACAGTGTCGCAGACGTAGTGTTGGCACTGTTCAACGTGCTTTATCGCCCGGCGAAAAGGCAAATAAAAGAGTTCCACAAAGGGAAGTAACTTATATTATTAGTAGGTTGCACACTGACTTAGATAAATTCGACTAATGAAAATATGCAAATTTTGTAAAAATGACGACATGCAGTTCGTTGTCACTCATTTATGCATGAAAAAGGATAACTGCAACACTAACAATACTTATACATATATAACTCCAATTAGTAATAATTTAAACGAAAAGTTTATTTTCTCCGTTAACATTTTATTGCCATATCTAGAAATTTAGAAGTAATCAAAGATTGGGTAGATCAGTTTGGTACAACATTATCAACGCCTTCTCCTGTAATGATTATAATATATATGAGGTGATAGCATTAAGGCAACTACACATACAAAGCTAAAATATTCGATAATTATTTAAACTGTAAACCTGTTGGTTGCCTTTATACAAATTTGAACTATTCAATCTAAAATGTTCACATTATTGTCCAACGGTAGATCTGTGTCTCCCTAAAGCAGAATATCACTGTCAATATCGTGATTAGTAACTTGTACATTTGCATTCATTAATATAGTTCTATAATCTTTGAATGTGATGATATTGACAAAAATGACACGATGTGCACTTTCACACGAGAGCGGCAACAGACTTTTTGAGCACAGTATCCACGACTTGCTGTTAATTTGGAAAATATAATAATTTAACGAACTACGCTTATAAATTTCTTAATTAAAATTTCTTTTGCTGAATGTAAAGTTACATTTGGCGTTATTTCATTTTTCATCTTCTACACAAAATAGTTGTTTCCGCCTTCGATCTGTAACCTCTGTAACCTTCCTATTTTTTTTAATTTCAAAAGCTGTTTCGTTATCTGTCCCATAATTTAATGAAAAACTGCTGGCATATGAATAACGTTACAATCCAGTTATCAATTTCTAGCAGCTTTTCTATAAATTAAAAAAACAACAACCCATTTTACTAGGAATAAACTATCCCTTTGGCCATGCTTTGAACGCCTTCAAATCACAATTCAATTTCATTGACAGGAGGAAAGCGTATGCGTAGAAAACATATATCGTTAGCAAAAAGACGACCGAGTGGCCACATTCAAAGACGGTATGCACAAGAATATTTATGTGCAAGATAAGATATTGATCTGACAACTGAGGTGGACTTTGGCGTTTGTGATTAAGTTATTGTTGTCGATTTGAAAGATAATTTGATAACCATTTTAATTAATTACCAAAAATGTGGTACATTGTATACCTTAAATTTAACAAGGACATCTTTGTGCTCAACCCTATCGAAAGCCTCCAATATATCATACACGAGGCATGCAGGGTTCTTATCTTATTAAGCTATAAACAGGAGACACGGAGGGCCTTATCGCTGCTCACCTGGACTGTATACCTAGCAAAGATATTTATGGTTATTGTTTGGGATCTCAATCGTTTCAAAGTTATGGCTCAGGAATTAAGTCCCTAGGGGTGGGGCCGGACATCTGTGTCAATCCTAATATCATAACTGTGTTTCTGTATTGATGCCATGCAATGGTAGATATGCATGGTTATGTAGTGGTGATCTCAGTCGTTTCAAAGTTCTGGCTTAGGAATAAAATTCAAAGGAGTTGATACCAGACCATTGCATACTGTCCCTTGTGGTAGCAACATACTTACGAAGAGACAATGATCATGCTACTGTCCCCTCTCGCATCCTCTATAGCCATGGGTTACGCTCACTTTCGCTCTCTACAACCCTGAAATTTGTCATCGCAAAATTGAAGGCACCGAGATAGCTGTTTGATTGGTCTCAGGTAACAAAACAAAAAAGACCAATCGCTAGGCTGATCATACATGTCCTTTGAAGATTACAAAGGAGAGAAACCCGACTTCAAAGCCAGTCAAATTTTACCGCTACGTGGCCGCGAGATTCGTTTGATGTATATCAAGGGATCAAAGTAGTCTCCTTGTCTCGTCAACAAGGTGGCGCACAACGAGCCTTCAGTTTTGCTCTGACATATTCTAGGGGTGTAGAAAGCGAAAGTGAACGTAACCCCTGGATATCGAGGATGCCCCTCTGGTAGCTATAATTATATATATATAAACTATAGGGGAGACAATGATAGTTCTACTGTCCCCTTTAGTAGCTATATACTATAGAGGAGACAAGGATCGTGCTAGTGTGACACGTGGTAGATATATACTATAAAGGAGACAAGGATCGTACTACATTCCCCTGTGGTGGCTATATACTATAGAGGGGACAATGACCGTGCTACAGTCCCCTGTGGTACCTATATACTATAGAGGAGACAAGGATCGTGCTACTATCCCCTGTTGTAGCTACATACTAGTTCGCTATATGTAGTCCCCTAAGGTAACTATAATTTGAAGGGGAGGAAAAGATCTCCTTAGTCCCCTATGCTACTATACAGTTTATAAAACTATCTTCATCAATAAATATACCTCTTTTTTTTTTCTTTTTTTTTATACATTTGGGAGATAGTCGTTAGAACAGTGACCTGAGCAGAAATCAGTACTGGTACCGATAACTACAGGGATTAGTAGCGGTACTCCGGAGGTATTTACAGATCGATTTTATATTTTATCAAATGGTACGTTTTTCCTATATAGGGTTACTGTTTTAGTTTAAAACACAGAAGTGCCTAACTATGCGCTTATATGTAATCAAAGCTCCCCTATACTCCTGATTGGCCTGTAACTTAGCTTTTAAAGTGAAACGATTAAACTTTCATCTTAATGTGCGATTTCACGGTCATGTCCGATCGGAGATTCGTCAGTTGTATTCTGATATCATATTAGAGGTACATACTTTAAGTGATTAAGTGATTGGATGAGTAAATTAATGAGCGAGTTTTATATTTTGGATCCAATATATCACTGTAAATATATATTTGAAAGTGTTATCTATTCCTTACTGTACTTTTCCAACTTGACAATTTGGTGGCAGCAGTTGGATTACCAACGTCAGTTGTTCGGGAATAGCATACTGATTGAATATGATTGCTGGGAATATAGGTGTGCTGAGAAACATATTACCATAATGGTAATATGAACCGCGGTTCATTTCACCATGGCCTTCATATTACCATACTACACCGGCCTAGGGACCATTATGGTAATATGAACCGCGGTTCATTTCACCATGCTTCACAATACCATGCTACACCGGGATATACCAAGGCCTTAACAATGGTAGCTGTTGTTCCCTGCTTAACGTTCAGCATTTAAGGGAATGGCAACAACTGGTTCACCCGTTTTCAGTATAATGTGACCGGGCGGAATGCTGTGCTGGGTGCCTTCGGCATGGTATTTCAGTAAGATAGCACTATAAAGTCGGCATCAGATCCACGCTATCAAAAGGAGGCAAGCACACCAAAATCCTCTGTTTCCTGCATACACACACTCAAGCACGCATACACTAAACACATGAAGTCCTTAAGTGACCCCATAATATGTACTATGTGTGTTTTGACAGACGAGGCTAGGTAACCTGTGCAGACCTTTTATTTGCCGACCCAATGATTTCTGTTGTTTTTATCAGTCATTAAAACCTCTGTCATTTACATTGGAATGTTTTTGGTATCAGTCAACCATACCGAGACTGTTGCCAGTCAGTTTTGTACCCCTTATTATAAACATGTAATTAACTTGTTGTGCACAAGTGATATTGAATGCAAGTCAAAATTATTCATTTCCACATATTTGTAGACATCCACCAAGTCAAGCTACAGGCCAAACGTACGACTCTTCCGTAAGAAACTCACGGTTCTTTAAGGGAAGTAAGTTAAAGTTTGCAACATAACATTGAAAAAGAGACCATGGAAAATTGTCTGAGCCAACATGATAACCTTACATCCCAGCAAGCTACAGGCCACATATCATGACATTGGGAATTATAGGTATTCATTTGAACACATTTAAAAAAAATGTAAAGCAAGCAGGATATATACACATCAAGTTAGCCTTGGGACTTTGAATGAAGGTCATTCATTTGAACAAATGATAGCATTTCGAGGAAGCAAGATACAAGCCAAGATAGCATGACCGATTGTTACCATAGTAGAAGTAATGTCTAAATATAGGTCAAGGTTATTTATTTGAACAAATAGTATAGTGAAAGTCGGTCAAGGTTATTATGTTGCAAAAACAGACTTTAGGACAAATGTAACAGGACGAGGAATAGTGATAAAGATAGTGCCATCGCCGAGGCTCGAACCCGCGACCCTTGGCTCTCCAGCCCGATGCTCTACCGCTGAGCTAAAGGGAAATTCCCTACAGCCGACGCTTGGAAGGCAACTTAATTAATCCACATCTTTGACACTATTCCCCCCTTTTTTCAAACTTCAACCTGGGTTATTTGACTGCCCGCCAAGGGTTCTCCTACCTTGAACGGGAGGGTCAACAGCACCAATTTGTAATAGGACGAGGAATAGTGATACAGATAGTCCCATCGCTGGGGCTCGAACCCGCGACCCTTGGCTCTCCAGCCCGATGCTCTACAGCTGAGCTAAAGGGAAACTCCCTATAGCTGACGCTTGTAAGGCAACCTAATTAATCCACATCTTTTACACAAGTATCATCACTATAAGCTTAATGGACCATCTGAAGTCATTTCAAGTTTTGAACATATTTGATACCTATGATCATGAAATGGTATTAATTTATTTGCTACTTACTTGATTGACAGCCCTTCACTCCAGCCAGTTAAAAACCAAATATCTAATTAATATACTAGACTTTATGAATCTGTAGAAGTCATTTGAAGATAAGTAATAACATCCTGTAGCCAACACTGAAATGAATATTAAAACATCAAGCTGCAATTCTTCCGAGGACGTGCACATACATTTGTCATCCTTTAAATTCCAATGTTAACAGTATTTAATTTCAACAATCGTGGTCATTTGTCCTGTAGGACATGAAATAGGAATCCAAATTAACTTCACATTCTGTAAAAGTTTTAATACATTTCGGAATAACTGGTAGAACAGAGACTCATATCCCACAGTAATCTGATCCCCTTCTACCGTTTTTATTACTCATTTTTTACACATGTGTAGTAAGAAGCTGCAAGTTATAGGAATGTTAAATATAAGATTAGCCTGCAACAGCAAGTGTAATCTACCATCAGTTAAACAGTGCGCAAAATACACCCGTATAGCGGCTTGACCAAGTGTAGACTACATTCAGTATAGTCATGTACGACAGCTCATCACCTTCGGGCAAGTCGACCTGCTCACCGAGCATACAGATATCGAGAAGTCGGCTCGGCCAGTTTACAAGTGCATTTTCACAACACATGCCCCCTGGGCTTATTTCTCTTAAAATATATATGAAGTACAAAAAACAAAAAACTTCTTCGGTCTTGTTAATCAAATATTATTGTAATATCTCTGTTATACAAATACTAGGTAAAACAGTATCATTGATTGAATATCACTGGAAACTTAAATAATGACATACTTCACTGACAGACATTCCATAACCAAAACAAATTCTTTTCTTTTACAGTTGCATACTAAAAATTAAATGCAAAACATTGGTAAAACTAGTGAATTCAACAAGAACTTAACTTATGTAAGCTGTATGGAGGAAAATACAAAAGCTTAAACTTATGAATAGAAAAACAGAATGTGAATCGATAGAGAAAAAACATATTTCACAGAAAAATATATTAATTTGAACATAATAATGAAAATATGCAAATTCAATTATTGTCATCAGGCTGTCAGTAGAACCTATACAAAATCAAAAGGATGGGGAAATCAGAAAGCAGTGAGGCACATATCGATGGAGTGAGAACTGATTCAGGTATTTTTGAAACCAAAATCAATATAAAATTAAGATGTAATGCCATGCCATTTGTATGTCGTACAATGAAACTTCAATTGGCTTTTATTTGTAATTTAAGAAGAAACAACCCTATTAACCGATTATTAAAACAAACAATTCTAATTTAAACCCTTCACACATCTGTGGGTTAAGGTTTATATATATATATCACTAATTCACTGCAATATAATTTCCTATCATAATTGACAATGAATTTAAAAGAAAATCAAGAAAAATAATTAAATGAAGAAACTGTTGTATATTTCATCACATTTTAAACTAATGATAGAAATTAACAGAACCAAAATAATATGGTATGATTCAAAATAAAACAACTTCTACACAAATTCAAATTTGTTGACATGGATTTGATAAAATCACATACTAATTTTATATATGACAGACTCACATGCATAAGGATATAAGGTCATTCAATTTCATATAAGCATGTATGCAAATAAAAATGGAACAATGAACATGAATATATAGTTAATGATAATCTACACCAAAAACTTTAGTTTTTAGGAAACTAAACATGCTTTGCAACAGAAAAAGGTAGTATTTTTGCCACTTGTTATAGGGAGAATATATGACGAGCAATATTTTAGAGATTTTGAAGTGCCTCCTACATAGACACATACCTTACAGGTATTTCCGAGAACACTTTTTCCTTGTGGATGAGCAGAGCCATGAATACCATTATACTGGAATAACTGAGTTGATCTAAATGAATTATATAAAGATACAAAACAATGCTGTAGTGAATTTCAGAGACAATTGAACAGTTTGATGAGAAATTCATCTGGACACAAGTATAAAACTAGCTGACTCAGATTATTATGTGAGAGTTTGGTTGAGGAATCGTAAATGTAATATGTAATATTCGGAACATGATTTTAATTAAATATATTTAAACAACACATTCGCTCGCAAGATTTTACAGACTTTGTCTATGCCAGACATGATCTCCCACATCCAAATTGTGTCAGTTATTGCTTGTTTGTCTCTCTCACGGTCTCTCTCTCTCTCTCCGTCTCTCTCCCTCTCTTTCTGTCTGTCTCTCTGACTCTCACACAATCACACTTAATCTTCTGTCACAGCCTATTCCTTTTTCACTTTGGTATTTATTTTCCACGCTCCTATGATGTATCGCACACGTATTAGCAGCAGATCTTTGCCCATTTGTAGCCAGCTCCAGAACGGAACCATTTTTGACCCTGTAAAATAAATATTTTTTTATATTGGAAGTCATCTTTTGATTTTCTCAATTATCTTTTTGACTTAAATTCTTTACTTTTAAGTCTAAAATATCCAAGACTATTTGAATAATTAAATGTAATCCAATTTGTAAGATCAATTTTCGACACATTCTCATACTCTATATTTTAAATTACTATGTTTAAAAGTGCAAAATATAAGGAGAAACTGTTTTCAGGTCCTTATATAACTAGCATATTCTACATTGGTTCTATAGTTACAATTATTTTGAAAGTTTAAACAATATAATTTGCAACATCGATATTGAATGAATAATGCTATATATAAGCTTGTAAAGGTCCTTAAAGAAATTAAAAAAAACAATATTCAAGGGTATGTATTATTTCATGTTAAAATGTTTCCCAAAAAATAATGTAAATCTTTAAAAATGTCTTCCTTCATTTTTACATGTTAATACAATGGATTGATGTATAAATCTTATATATACATATTTATGTAACACAGTACTGTATACGGAAAATTTTCGCTGTAGTTTAGCTTTCGCCCAATGAGGACGCATTTATCATAAAAGCGGATATTTGTACATAACATACACTAAGAGGTAATTTCATGTCAATGGCGAAATTAACACTAGCCGAACATGAATTTTATCGGCAAAGAGCGAATATTTGACTGGCCAAATGTTTCCCCGTATACAGTATATATATTATGATTATATATATTGTCTGTCTTTGCATCCTTACATACAGCCAAACCCCCTCCAACAGCTATTGGTCCATATTGGACAAATTATCACTTACCCTCTATCTCCTGCCATGTAATGGCTACTTCAGCTAATCTCATGTTGAAGCACTGAGCCAGATACAGCATTTCTACATCAAAGGCCCTGCAATATATTATAAATACTGTTTCAAGAAAAATTCATCTCAAACAACGTTAGTCATGAATTTCTATAAACAATCAACACTGCACATCAAACACTCTACAATTAAACTTATATATATCCAAAGAATACCTTGCAGTATAGTATCAAATACACAGTTAACAGATCCATGCTAGCTTTAACAAATCTTAAAACTGTGAAACTTCCCCATCATTACAATGTATACTGGGATTTTTTTGCTGTAGTTTAATTTTTGCCACAGTTATGAAGGCGAATTTATCATTACAGCGAATATTAGCAAACGCCATACCATGAAAAGTAATTAAATGTGATGGGCAAAATTAACGCTGGGCGAATAATGATTATTCTGGGGAAGGGCAAAAGTTTGACTGGCCAAAGTTTCCTGCTTTACAGTATAACATATACCAAGGACTCAGCGAAAAAAGAAAGGAAAACTTTTTTTCTCTCAGTTGAGATAATTATTGGTATATCATTTTTGTTGAAATGTATTCAACTTGCAATTGGTATGAATCTATGCATTTGTAGTGTTGGTTTACTAATTGTCATAATTCAGGAAAATATACCATACTGAATTGAGATATTTGATGTTAAAGCAGGGCAGGTTGAGTTTCCTAGTAATTAAAGTCACATGCTAAGTACTGTGTAGATTAACTATCGTACACATGACAATCACAAAACGTTATGGTATTTTCGATAATTATCATAGTATCATGGTATTAACCTAGAAGTTTAGCACCTGTCAAGACAAAAAACAGGGAAAACTAAACCATGAGCGATGCGCCAATAAATCGGCTGGCCGGCCATTCACAACTTTCACACCTATGCTGCTAATTGGCCTGGCCAGTCATTTAAGTGGCTGCCTGTGGTTTTAGACCTCTCCGTGACCAAGGTCAGTGAGAATCCATGTAGGTACAGGTATTGTTTATTCACTAAGATTGACCAAACTTTGCTTCTTTTAGTGAGACCAATTGAAATTTGTGAGAAATGTGTCTCACACAGTGAGGATTTTTTCTGAAGAAAATTTTGCGAGTCTCACGCTCAAATCGTTAGCTATGACATGTATGATGAGAAACTGACTACACTTATATACAGGAGTGTAAACAGGCAATTTACAGTGGCGGATCCAGAGACCTATCTTTGGGG